AAAGGGATCCATACTGAGAGTTGAAGGAGTTCATATCAGGATAGCCAAGTGTTGTCTAGAAAAATATCATGGAAGCACTGGAATGGAGTTGGGCCCTGGGTAAAAAGTGAAAAGGCACAGAATGAGGAAGAAGAATTTTTAGTAAGGACTAGGATATGGGGGCATTTATGTTGGAGAGACATATAAAATAAAAGGCAAAATGAGTCAAGACACATGAAGGATACTGACTATCAAGCTAAAGAATTTGGATTTCATTCTGAGAGGCAAAGTAGAGCCTTTGGAGATGTGAATAAGAAAATAACTCAGTGAAATCAATGTTTTTAGAAAGACTATACTAAGTAGAAGGGAACTAGACTACACATTTTAATGCCAGAGAAGTTAACAGTTTTACCTTTTTGAAGTCATGAATCTCTTTGAGAATTTAATAAAAGCTATGAGTCCTTTGCCTAGAAACAGATACACACACAGAGTTGTGCAAAGTTCACAGACACTCTGAAAACTTTTCATAGGGCTTCATGGACTCAGGTTAAGAACCCTTGAATTAAATGGTTTTTTGTTTGTTTGTTTGATTGTTTGTTTGTTTGTTTTGTAGCAGACCAGAATTAAAGGTCTAGGCTAGGATCCTAGTTAGTGAAAATACAAAGAAAGTAAGGCTTTAAGAAATCTAGTGCTCAAAATTTGATATGAAGTATGAAGTGAAAAAGTTGAAGGTGGAGTGCTTGCTCCAGAATTTTATAATACATCTGTAGCAGAGACTGCTATAACTCCCAATATCCATTTCTCTTTATCTTTTATAGTAACAGGTAGTTGAGCATATGACCACCCAAAATAGAGGTACACATTCCTAGCCTTCCATGTAGCCAGTGTGGCCACATGACTAAGTTCTAACCAATAAGAAGAAAGTAGAACTGATATATGCAACTTTTGGGTCTTGACTGGTTCTCTTCTCTTCCCCATTTCCTCCTTCCTACTGGCCAATATATGGATAAAGTGGTGAGCTACCTTAGACCAGAGTTTAAAGCAGCACCCACAGGATGGTGAAGGAACAACATAGAAGGAGCTTGACACCCTATACCATTGTAGAGCAAAGCTGTCATACCAGCTTAGATATTTACTTATCTTACTTGTCATTATTATTCCAGGTCTCTGGCACAGCCCCTGAACTCATCCTATCTAATACAGAATTTGGTACCCAAGGTGGTTTGCTGCTGTAATAGAACCTAAAATGCATGGCTGGCTTAGCAGCCAGGCAGTTGGTGCCAAGGAGCCATATAATTCAGAATAGAAAGCTGATGAGCAGTGTTATACTATCTGACAAAACACTTGGTAAAACTGTCACCTGCAATACCCTAAAAGGCAGACTATATGCTCACAGATCCTGTAGCTCAGTAGTATGTGTTCACTGTTTCTTGTCACTTTCAGGAAAGTCCTGGGAGAAAGGTGAGGTCAGGTTGGAGCTAGTTAATCAGCAAGAAGAGATGGCAGGAAATTCACTCTGCATGGAGGTACTCTCTGTCTGTGGTCAAAGTACCTAGAAGGTAGACCTGGCAAGTTTGGAAAATTAGAAGTATTTTAAAAAGGTGGTTCTGAAAAGGCTGTCTAACAGGAGACAGGAGAATAGACAAAACCCTTCTTTTTTTTTTTTTTATCCTCACCGGAGGACATTTTTTGATATTTTGTTCAGATAGAGTGGGGGGGGGGGAGAGAGACATCGATGTGAAAGGGACACATTGAGTGGCTGCCACCCACAGGGCCCAACCAGGGCCGGGGACAAACTGCAACCAAGGTACCTGCCCTTAGCGGGAACCGAACCCAGGTCTCTCTGGACTGCAGGCTGACGCTCTAACCACTGAGCAAAACTGGTCAGGGCGACAAAACCCTTCTTTAAGTACCTTCTAGTAAGCATCACTGTTAGACAAGGGGAGCCAGCTGAGACTTCAAGATCCGATCAAGGATGTCGCCTTCCCACTCAAGCCTATTACTTCAGTTGATCTCAAGGTAAGCACCATTAAATTTAGGGACCTGAATGGGTAGAACACAGAAGCAATAAATAAAAGACTGAAGTTATCTGGCTTAAATACTAGGTCTAGAGGCCCTGGCTAGGTAGCTCAACTGGTTAGAGCATGGTACAAATATGCCAAGGTTGTGGACTGGATTTCCAGTCAGGGTACATACAAGAAGCAACTAATGAATGCATAAATAAGTGGAAGAACAAATGGATGTTTCTCTCTCTTCCTCTCTCTCTCTCTCTCTCTCTCTCTTTTTCCCCCTTCCTCCCCCCTCTCAAATCAATCGATCAATCAATATTAGGTCTAGATGAGATTTTAAAAAAATCCTCACCCAAGGATATGGTTTTAAAAATTGATTTTTAGAGACAGAAGAAAGGAGACAAAAACATCATTGTGAAAGAGAAAGACCATTCAGTTGCATCCCATACATGCCCCAACCAGGACTGAACCTGTGACCTAGGTATGTGCTCTGTCCAGCAATCAAATTGCAACTTTTTTGGTGCACCGGAGAATGCTCCAACCAACTGAGCCACCCGGCCAGGGCTAGATGAGACCTTTGGGAAATTTGCTTATGGAATGACCAGAAGCAAAAAGACTGAAGACTTATGAATTTTATAAGAAAATTGTACTGCCAAAGAAATCCTAACTCTGGCCAGAAAAAAAAAGCAACTGTAACTGATGACCCCCTAAAGTAACTCTTAAGCTCCTCAACCTATCAAAATAGACTGTAAAAGGGGTGCAGTCCCAAGGAGAGCATGTTCATGTCAGGGATGGCCACAGAAGGTAATGGATAAAGAAAAACCTGTAAGGCAAAGCCTGAAGGCAGAATTAAAGGGCCAAATAAACTCATGAACTTACTACAGGATCACATCAAGGAGCTTTTTTATCATTCCTTCCCAACAATATTTAGTTACTGATTTGAACCAGTGGCTGCTATAGATCCCTTTCTTTCCTTCTACAGATTGAAATTTTCTTTATATATCATATGTGTATACATGGAGTGGGTGGCAGTTCATAAAATTCTAGACCATGAGGAGTTACAGCCAGACCAGATGAAGAGGACCACACATTCTCCAGAGATAATTTTCCTCTTCTTTCTCAAGATAATTTTTAGCTGGTTCGTGGCCACCCTGAACAGAGCCTGTGCTTGCTTTCTTTTTCTTTTTTTTTTTTTTTGTCCTCACCTGAGGACATTTTTCCATTTTTGTTCAGGTAGACTGGGAGGGAGAGAGAGAGAAACATGGACGTGAAAGGGACACATTGAGTGGCCGCCTCCCGCATGACCCCAACCTGGGCCGGGGACAAACTGCAACCGAGGTATGTGCCCTTAGTGGGAACCGAACCCGAACCCGGGTCACTCTGGACCTCAGGCCGACGCTCTAACCACTGAGAAAACTGGCCAGGGCCAGAGCCTGTGCTTTCTAATTTCCCTTGCATGTATATAAAAACAGAAGACCAGGTTCTGGCCAATGAGATATTATTGGACGTGATATACGCAACTCTCCTTGCCTCTTCTCCCACATAGCCTAGTAAGAGAGGTAGGAGAAAATGATCTACAAAAAGAGTGATTATAAAATAATGTGAGGAAGCAAATAGAAACAAATTGTGAAGGAAAACCTCAAATGAGTTCACAATAATTGTGCACCGAGCAGATGCTAATATGATCTTAAATGAAGAAGAGACTGTCAAACACATTTCACACATACATCTCTTATTGACTACAACAGTATTTGGCCACAGATAATCATGGACCTCCTGGTAGAGAATCACCTGGGGTGCCTGATAAAAATACATATTCCTAAACCTCATCTCAGACCACTGAATTAGAACCTGGGGGAAGAGTAAGGGAAGGAAGCGTGGAAACTGGCACTTTAAATATCATTCAAAGTGATTTGAACACACACTTATGTTTCAGAACTGACAAATAAAACTTTTTACACTCATTTTGCTAAGTAAAATAAGATACATATAGTCTTATACTCAAGGGATTAACAATGTAGTTGGCAAAAGCCTTCCCTAAAGAAATCCTATTGCATTCAAGACAGAGAGAAAAAATCAGGTTTATTCCAAATGTCCCCTGAGGTCAAGGACAAAATACTGAGATTCCAGTGTGTGATGTAAGATTCAAAGGTCAGGTGCTTAGATGATGGAGGTGATCTTCATTGTTAACCTAATGACTGGATCAAAGATACCAAATGCTTTTCATCTGATAATTGATCTGGATTCATCTTTTACTTTGTGAGAATGAATAAGGATACAATAACTTTGGCACACAAATCAAATAATCAAAATTAATCTTTTGCACATGAGCATGCAACATAAGAGAGAGGTTCCAGAAAACTGACACTCATGTCCTCTAACCCATTAAAACTCCAGAAATATGGTTCTAAATTCAGCAAAGAGTTTTAAACTCTGAAATTAAAGTTAGAGGCCAGCTAGAGGATATAAACAGATGATAAGTACCACGCTGTGGTCCAAGACCACCAACTAACTGCCCTCCACACTCTAGCAGTAGAGTCGTGACCCTCACATTCCGGCTCGCACCGGCCTTGGACGTGGCCCTGAAATGTATCCTAGGCTAAACTCCAGGAGCTGGGAGATCTTAGAACTTTTCTTGTAGCCCCGCCTCCGCAAAGAGCTCAACTCCCGCAAGTTTACAACCGAAGAAAAGACATGAGCTCGCAAAATCGGTATGAACTCGGAAAGTGAGAAGACCACCCAAGCGAGGAACCGATGCTGAGACCCTGAAGTCAAAGTTCCTCAACTACCGAGGCTGGGGGGCGGGGGATGACCCCAACACTGACAACACCCACGCCTGCCTCTCTGCCCCCTCCCCTCCCCTTCCTCTTCACCAGCCTGCACAGACTGCAGACCCCTGAAGCCCCGACCTCCCCCACAACAGCACACCACTGCAGGCCCGGCAGGAAGGATCCCCGGCCTCCCCAGCACCCATGCCCACAGCCCGGGCCCGACCCCAGCCCCATCCCGGACCTGGCGGGCGCGCCAGGCCGCTTCGGGGTTCCTGGCTCTCAGGTTTCCTCGGACGGTATCCATAGACACCCTTTTCGGTCTGGTAGCCGCGCTGGAGGAGGAACGGAGGGGCCCGACCCAGGCTCCGTCTTGCTGCTGCCACAGTGACCGAGGCCATGTTCCGCCTGGTCTTCTGGCCCAGAGGACGAGGGGCAGTACACGTGGAGAACAAGTGTCGTTCCAGAGGCGCCTCAGCCCGGGAACCCGCTCGTGGGAGGCGGGAAGCAGGAAGCCCATCCTTGGACAACGCCCCCGCGCCTGATTGCCTGGTTGGCCGGGGGCCGGCCCTTCGGAGCCAATCCAGGGCAGCAGTCCACCAGGCGAAGCCACGCCCCGGGACCCGGCGGTCTCCCGGTCCTAGAGGCTGAGGGTGGCCCTGGATTTGGGAGTGTGGAGTGTTGAGCAGAGCGTTACCGGCTTTCTGGTACAAAACTTGTGTTTCTGTGTATTCTACAGTCTCCCGCCAGGAGTATTTACCCACAACTCCTCAGGTGATAGCTGCAAAAAGCACACAGACACGATGTAGGTTGTCACACACAAAGGAAAAATTAGCGACTGGGGTCATAGAAAGTGGCTTGGACAGAGACCAAGGACCGCAAGAAGGAAAGATCATACAAAGGAGCCAGAAAATCAAATATCTCCCCTTTTTATTATGAAACATTGAGGGAGCCTGGCCCCTGAGGCTCGGTAGTTGAGCTTCCACCCATGAACCAAGAGGTCACCTGTTCTATTCCTGGTCAGGGCACATGCCCAGGTTGTGGGCCAAATCCCCAATGGGGAGAATGCAGGAGGCGGCCAATCTATGTTCTCTCTCATTGATGTTTCTATCTCTCCTTCTCCCTTCCCCTCTCTCTAAAATCAATAAAGAAAAAAAATTAAACAAACAACAAAAAAGAAACATTGAGGGGGAAAGTACAAAATAGGGGAAGAGGAGCCTATGTGAAAGGGATAGACTATGAGTGAAAAGAAATGGGTCATGGAAGATTTCAGCAGCGTATAGACCTTTGAGATTCTTCATTGGTCTATCTGACAGTTTCCCAAACAATTTTATTCTGACTTACCTTTAATTTTGCCACTGTGGTGAGGGAGGAAGGGTACTCTGCTGAATTACAAAAACTGACAAGATACAATGTGCCCTTAATCAGTTCCCAGTCTTGTAGCAGACTGAACTCAACACACAGTATGAGAGATGCGGGGATGGGTAGGTGCCCTGCAAGCACAGTGCAAAGGCATCCAGCACAAACAGGTGTATCAGGGGGACCTCTAAGTAGAAGCAACACTAAAACAAAATATTCATGGATGAATTTTGTTACGGTGATTAAGATTTTTTTCTTTACAATTTTAACTAGAGCGTTCAGGATATGTTTGAAAGATTTTACAAACTATTAAGTAAAAAAATACAGGAGAGAAGGATAATCCAGTGGATTGAGGTACATGCAGAAGTGGGAGGGGAAAGGATCCAAGGACAGATGACACTAGAAAGGAGAAGAGGTATGTTCTTCATTGATTCAGATTAAAAGAAGAGAAGATAGGTGCAAAAGCAGACAGAGTTATAGATTCAGTGGTGGAATTCTAAGGGAGTTCCTTCTATGTGAAATATCAGGCCAGATAATTTCCCCCAAAATAATTACCTGAAAAGGTGCTAGGGAGTGGGGAGGTGAGTCAGAGTTAAGAAAGGTAGAGATAGGAGAAACATCTGTAACAAAAATAAAATAAAATAAAATTCTGCAAGAAAAAAAAGAAAAGAAAGGTAGAGACAGTATAAAACTGTTATTGAGAAGAGTAGTAAAATGTAGAAGATTGTCTTAAACTTTTGGGGGTCATCCAGTTGAGATTGGTGACCATAAACAGAGAGAGATACTAATTTCAGCTCTTTTGTGATTTTCTCCATTAGTGGTCAGTTGCTTGGTACTGAGACCGTCAGAAGGATGGTGATTGGATTTATTTTGGGGCTAGAGTTTTTCCAGGCAGACATGATAGAAAGGCCAAGAGGCAAAGGAATTTAAGGTTTTAGCTAGAGAACAATTGAAATAATAAAACATGGGCCCTGGCTAATGTGGCTCCGTTGATTGGACTGTCGTTTGGGACACCACCAAAAGGTCGCGGGTTTGATTCCTAGTCAGAGCATAAATCCAGGTTGTGGGTTCGATTCCTGGTCACGATTCATAAACTCCCGTCAGGGTACATATTGGAGACAACCAACCTATGCTTCTCTCTTAAATCCATGTTTCTCTCTCTCTCCCTCTCCCTTCCTCTCTATCTAAAATCAAGAAAAACATGTCCTTGGGTGAGGATTAAAAAAAGAAAAATAATAAAACAGACTCTACACTGGAGAAAAAAAAAAAAGGCTAACAAATATAAGAATGACCAGATCTCATCTTTGGACCCTAAATACATTCAAAATAGTTCTCAAATCCATTCTCAGATCCATCCACTTTTTCTAGTTAGAGCCATCATCACCTCTCCAAGAATACCAGAGTAGCTTCCTAAACTGTCTTTTTGCCTTGGGTCTTTCCTTACTTAGTCATACTTCTTCCACATTGGAGTCAAAAGTATTTTGTTATTTATTTTTATTTTTTCTTTAAATCCTCACCTGGGGATATTTTTCCATTTATCTTCAGATAGACTGGAAGGGAGGGAGGGAGGGAGGGATGGGGGGAGAGGGGGAAAGGGGGAGAGAGAGAGAGACAGAGAGACAGAGAGACAGAGACTGATGTGAGAGAGACACATTAATTGGTTGCTTCCCACATGACCCTGACCAGGGCCGGGGATGGAACCGCATCCAAGGTAGATGCCCTATACTGGAATTGAACCTGAGGCTCTTTGACCTGCAGGTTGACACTCTAACTGCTGAGCCAAACTGGCCAGGGCATATTTCTTAAAATTAATATCTCATATTGCTGTTGCCTTAAACATTTTCATGCTTCCCTGTTCTTCTTTGGATAAAGTCTAAGTGTTTTAACGTAGCTTTAAAATTCTTGGGTGGGGTGGGGGGTGCCAATGGGGTAAAAAAGGTAAAATATCTGTAACAAAAAAATAAATAAAAAATTTATAAAAAATAAATAAATAAAATTCTTTAAAGATCACTAACCTTGACTCATTTCTTAAAATTTTCATCTCCCCATTTTTCAGTCAGAAACTTCAATGTGTCATGCTTTTCCAAATTTCCAAATCCTTTTCCTTTGCAACTGCACTCACACTCATGGCTTTAATGAACAATAATATAAGAATGATACCGCCCTGGCCGGATTTGCTTAGTGGTTAGAGCATTGGTCCGCGGACCAGGAGGATCCTGGGTTCGGTTCCCGCTAAGGGCACATATCTCAATTGCAGTTTATACCTCAATTGCAGTTGATCCGTGGCCTGGTTAGGGTCGTGTGGGTGGCAACCAGTCGATGGGTCTCTCTCACATGGATGTTTCTCTCTCTCCCTCCCTCTCTCCCTCCTGATCTGTCTAAAAAGATGAATGCAAAAATGTCCTCGAGTGAGGAAAAAAAGAAAAAGAATGACACCAAATATAAATCACCAGCATAGATCTCTGTTCTGAACTTAGATTCTGGTCTGCTGACGTCTTTACTTCTTAGTATATCACTATGAACTCGTGATATACTAGACTCCATGACCTGTTCAAATATCATCAATTTGAAACTTGGTGGCCCACAGGTCCCAACTGAACTGCTGATGTATGCTTTGTTTGCCACCATATTGTCTTAATTTTTAAAAATTGGATGTTAATAATAAAAATGTGGAAGATTACATATTAAAGTCCAGATTTTCAGTTTTTCTGAAAAAGCTAGAAGATCTGGCCACACTGAACCCACTTTCCTTTATGGCAGTGATCAGCTGGAGTTGAGCACTGGCTGTCCTCTTTAGATGGCATGTGGCCTGGCCCGTGTGGCTCAGTTGGTTGAGCATTGTCCCATGCACCAGGAGATTGCTGGTTCTGCATGCTCAATCCCCAGTTGGGGGTCATGCAGGAGGCAGCAGAGTCATGTGTTTCTCCCCCCCTCACTCTCTCTCTTTCTCTGAAATCATTAAAAACATATTTTAAAAAATTTAGATGGCATGTGTATGCCAGTTTGTTTTTACCACTCGTGCATTTCTGTGGTCTGCCTGCCTGAATTCTTCAGCCAATTGTGTTTGCAACCCCGAGTCTGCTGTGATTTTGCCTGCTTTCACCTCTATGGAACCACATTTCCTGAGGTCTCACTATGCTCCAGTGACACTATTTTCAGTACCTTGAACACTTCTTTTCCCTCCTTATTTAAGGGTCTTCACACATGTCATTTCCTCTGCCGGGAAAACTCTTCTTCCTCCTCATCCCACAACCAACAACACAGACACCTGGATAATTCCTACCCTCCTTCTCCCCCGGGCTTAGAGTTACTTTTGGGGGGGGGGAGTGTTCCTGAGCCCCTTGGCTAGTTTAGTTTTCCCTACTGTACACTCTCATAGCACTCCATACATTGCCTTATTATAGTAGCATAATTTGATAAGTGCTTCCTGAGTACCAGATATAATTATAGTTATCTAAATTCTTGCATAGTTATAGTAATTTAATGGTTTTCTTTCTACTCTTCCTCCCAAGCATAAGTACATAACTGGTTAAATTCATGTAGCTTAATGTGAGTATGATATGACACCCTGGTGGGTGGCCCTCCCACTATACTGTAAGCTACAAGACTGGGGGAATTATATGTGTTTTCTTCATTGCTCTATTCCAAGTCCTAATATACTAAAACCCAGCAGGTGCTCAGTAAATGAATTTTGAGTACATGAATTAATGAAAGTAGAGCATAGGATGCAGTGATTAGTTATAAAGAGTAAGTGGAGAAATGGGGACAAAATTCCTGGCTTCTGACTTGAGCACCGTAAGTTGGTGGTGCCATTAACTGAGATAAAGTACATTGGAGGAACAAAAGGCTGTGAGGCAGGATTAATTTCATTTAATGTTGAAGTGTTTATGAAACTTCTGAGTGATATCTGGTACATAGTTGGACATATAGAGCTCAGAAAACCCTTTAAGGTGGGGAGTAGCACCTTTATTTTACAGATTTGATGTCTCACAGACCTGAGGTATATATAATTAATAAGCAGTAGAGCCCAGCCAGTGTGGCT